TTGGATGACTTTTTATATTGTTTATATTGTTTCTATTTCTTATCATTTAGCCAATCATAGGATTTTTAACCATGCTACAGAATACAAGCTTACCATTATTTCATCATCGATATCATTAATCAATTTATTTCCCAAAGAATAAGAGAAAGGTATGTTGGATTTGATTCTAGGAAAACGTCATCACGGTGCTAATCGATTTTTCCAACTCTACAGATGTTCGTGAGAATTTCGGTCATATTGTTCTTCCTGTTATATCAATTTTGCTTTATTAATTATTACATACATATATTATTTTGTAAATTTCTACGCAACTTCTACAATATATTTTTAAAAACTCTATTTAATGAATATGTCTTTCTTTTCTCGGATATAATATTCTACCGATTGAGACTGGAAGCTCACGGTGTTTTTTTCTGGATGGTATGCAAATATATTTGACTCTAATACTTTGCTAGCATCTTCATAATTATCGAAAAATTCCATAAATGTTGTAAAGCCCAGTTCTTTTGAATCTAATAAGGCCCTAATTGCTTTCTTTCCTACTTCATGATACAATTGCTTTCGGAGTAGTCGTGCAGTGTTGAATTTCTTTTCAACTTCACCTAATATTTGCTGTTTAATGACTGTGAAAAAGAGCGATTAATTCACAGCAGATAGAGTTCATTTGACGCAAATATAGATAATCTTACCTTCGAAGGTTTGTCCATTTAGAGATTTGTCCGCCACAGATTTTAGATCCACAATGCGCCCACCAACCAATTCATATAATCTTTTCGCTTCTTTCTCATTGATCACGCGCTTCTCAACTAGATATTTCATTGATTCTTCCTTGCTAAGATCGCCGATTTCCATCACTGGTTTATCTGCACGTGACCAGGAACTTCGAGCTAAAATAAGAATCTCACTCTGTAAGTAATACTATTTTTCGAGAGCGCAAAAAAAATCATTTCGGTACTTACATTCCATTCTTCTAGGCACCGAACCTTCACTGCTGACAAATACAGCAATGTACTTTCGGTCATCCGCATTATCCTTTGCATCGTCCTGGAGAATATCGAGGATTTCCGGGTTCTTATGAACCAATCGACTAACGTTATCATAAACAATGACTGGAGGTTTCTTGTATTTTGCCCTATACACAGCAGAAGCACGCTTGAAGGCTCTCATAGCTCTTTCCCATTCAGAAATTTCAGGCTTGTCTATAAAAAGGAAATCATGTCAAATACGTTGATTAGCAAAAATTAAAATGCTCTAGTTTATTACCTTTAGTTATACCCAAGATTTTTCGTCCCAATTGTTCTGTGATAGAAATTTGTTCCTCGAATGCAAAATTAATGGCCTTTCCAAAAGCCTCACCTAACTCATTGAAATTCGCAGGAACATCAACATATATGACTCCCTGCCCTACTTCCCTTGATACAGTTCTGGTTAATGTGGTTTTCCCGGTACCGTGTTCTCCACAAACCACAAAATAGTATGATTGATTTCTATTCGGTTGAAAAATTTTTTTAAGGCGATCTACAACTAAAGGTCGAGGAACAAGCTCATCATCTGAAACATCAATTTCAGGTCGAGTTCCTTTTTCCACAGTCTTGTTAAGAAGATGCTCATTGTGCCAATTCCGATACCCAGCATAAAGAAGATCCACCGATATCAAACTAATAACGCCAGCCACAACTAATTTCCCAATAATAAAAGTCTACAAATGACGAAATACGTTGAGATCTTGAATAAATAATGCACAACAAACAATAAAAATCTCATACAGGAAGCCGTTTTGCAGTGGCTTTTGCAAATTTGTTCAGGTAGGGGGAAGAAGTAGAGTCTTGAGGAGAAGGTGGAGGAAAGGTAGAGTTTGTGTAAGATCTCGAAAGCGACGATTGAAATAGAACAGGTTTTGAATTTCTTATCGCAAATTTTTGTTGTTGGGAGAACATGACTTGATGGGTAACGAGGCGAGATGGTAAAACGCTATTACGAAAATAATAGGCCATTCCGAGCTGGTTTGGAGTTGAAAGAGAGACTGATGAATTATCAAAAAAAAATTTCTATTTACTGATTGTGCAAATCACGCGATTCAGCAGATCATTAGTAATTACGGCCTAAATGCGCAGTACTTCTGTAAATAAATTTCTGTATCGCTGTTTGAAGTGCGAAAGTTCCGGATGAGGCGAATGAATTTTTTTGGTTGGATCGAATCTCATAAGGTTTAGCTTCGAGCATATACGAAAAGGTAGTTTATGTTCACTTATTTCTGTCACTGCCGTCTAAGTATAACTGACAACAGTTTTATTCTATCCAGGATACTGGGACAAATGAAACCGGATCATGAAGTGGGATTGTAAAACAAAATTTCACGGCTACGAGCTGAATCATTTGTATTCTGTATTAATAAAGTGACTCTGGTGGTCGATTCATCGGGAAAATGCTTATATTTATATTCCTTTTTTTTGATTTTTTTTCTTATAGTCATCAATAACATGACTATACGATAATAATACGATATTAATTGAACATAGAAAGCAAATAAATAAAAATAATATAGACTTACTTCTTTTAAAAGATTTTGCGTTCTAGTCAACGTTATAAGCTCCACTATATATGTTGGTATACGTGACTGTGTATAATTATATACACCTTCATCTTTTGCATACCGTATTCCATCTAACCAGGTTGCTAAAACTTTATCGTCAATATTTTGAATGTTAACTAATTTATTAAAAGGAATCCATTCGATTACATCTTCGTATTTTGTAGCTCTAAGTTGAAATTCCTTAATGCAATCATCGATATCCTTATTTCCACTTGTCCATCCTTGTGTTGTTTTCTGAGGGTCACATGTTTGACACCAAGCACGAGATGTGTTAAATCGCTTGCAATTTGCACAACTTCCATTAATTATATTTCTTTTAGAACCAAATTCATCAAATACTAACATATATTCATTCGTGTTTGTGTTTTGAGTTAACCCATAGACACATTTATCTTCTAATTGCATATAGTTTTTTAACTTATAAAATAAATAAACAGTACAAGCATAAATAATAAGCATAAATATACACTATTAATTACACATAATAAAATAATAAGAACTCACTTCTTTTAAAATATTTTGTGTATTTTTGTTCTGCTCAATATTTTAAGTGTAATCGTGTATGCCCGTGTACGTGACTGTGTATATTCATATTCATCATTTTCATTTTTATATTTATTTAGATATCGTATTCCATCTAACCAGGTTGCTAAAACTTTATCGTCAATATTTGAATGTTAACTAATCTATTAAAAGGAATCCATTCGATTACATCTTCGTATTTTGTAGTTCTAAGTTGAAATTCCTTAATGCAATCATCGATATCCTTATTTCCACTTG